TTACACTTATACAAACAATTTTAAGAGATCCCATCATCCTTCAGAACAAGTTTCATTTTGTGCACATGGACATTAATTTTATTTATGCTTTTGTGGTTTCCCCCTCCCCCATAAGGTAGAGACCTTGTTTTTGGGAGAAATCCTCCCAATTCCCAGTGTCAAGACCTTGCATCTAACAGCAACCAGACGCAGAGCCTTCACAGCAGTGGCACCATCACTCTGGAATACTCTGCCACCTGAAGTCCGGGCCTTGCGGGACTTACCAGCTTTCTGCAGGGCATGTAAGACATACCTGTTTCGACAGGCTTTTAATGTTTGATATTGTTGTATTTAAATTGTTTTAAATTGCTTTTAAATTTTGTTAGATTTTAGCTATTCTTGTAAGCCGCTCCGAGCCCCAGGGGAGTGGCGGCATATAAGTTCAAATAATAAATAAATAAATAGACGGCACTTCTGGTCATCGTAAGACTTTCCAGTTCTTGTTTTTATAAGTTCTTGTTTCGTAAGGCTTGTTGTTGTTATTAGCATTGTTATTATCTGAGCTGCTGCTTGACCATCAATAGCTAATCATTTATGTTTTGACGCTATCCTCTGTGTATTGGCTGCCCTCTAGTGGTGAACCTTCAGTGCTGCAGTGAGGGGCCCTTTATAGGCCAGTAGAGGGACCTCTAAGGCAGGCAAGTCCAAAGTACAGCCCAGGGGCCAATTGCGGCCCCTATTCAGATTTCCATTGGCCCTTTCTCCAGGCCTTTCTTCCTGGTTTCTTTCTTTTCATTCATCCCTTTCTTGACTTCCTTCCTCTCTTTGTCCGTTCGTTCATTCATTCGTTTGTTCCTTCTTGGGGATCAGGGCCTCAGGAAAAGCGGGCTCTTGCACCCCTTCACCCCGATTAAGCAGTGCCTTCTCCTCGGGTGACACCGGCCTTGGGCATCCAGTCCCAGTGGCCCTTTGTCTCTCTTGTCACCCACAACTTTTCTGTATTTCTTTACAAAGGAAGACTCCCCAATTTATTTATTTATTTATTTATTTATTTATTTACTTTATTTGTATACCGCTCTTCTCAGCCCTAAGGCGACTCAGAGCGGTTAACAACAATAATTCAGTATACACAATAGGAAATCACTGGACATTTCAAAACAGTAGCATAGCAATTAATTAGACACCAATACATCAATATAACAAATCCATCACATCTCATCAATAAAATCAGAATCCAATTTCATTATCCATTATTCCGTGTTCCAATAGTCAATTACACTCAATTATACTGCTTGATTGAATGCCTGTTCGAACATCCAGGTCTTCACTCTCCTCCGGAATGCCAATAGGGAGGGGGCCGATCTGATATCTGTAGGAAGGGCGTTCCACAGCCGAGGGGCCACCACTGAGAAGGCCCTGTCTCTCGTCCCCGCCAGGCGTGCTTGTGAAGCCGGCGGGACTGAGAGCAGGGCCTCCCCAGACGATCTTAATGTCCTAACAGTTGTAGACCAAAACATCTGGGGACCCATAGGTTTAGAACCACTGTTTTAGGGCTTTATAGGCTAAAGCCAGCACTTTGAATTGTGCTCGGTAGAAGGTTGGCAGCCAGTGGAGCTGGCGCAACAGAGGAGTTGTATGCTCCCTGAGTGCCGCTCCTGTTAGCATCCTGGCTGCCGAACGTTGGACCATTTGAAGCTTCCGAGCAGTCTTCAGAGGCAACCCCACGTAGAGAGCATTGCAGTAGTCTATACGGGATGTAACCAGAGCGTGGACTACCATGGCCAAGTCAGACTTCCCAAGGTACGGGCGCAGCTGGCGCACAAGTTTTAACTGTGTGAATGCTCCCCTGGTCACCGCTGAAACCTGGGGTTCCAGGCTCAGCGATGAGTCCAAGATCACACCCAAGCTGCGAACCTGCGTCTTCAGGGGGAGTGTAACCCCGTCCAACACAGGCTGTAACCCTATACCCTGTTCGGCCTTGCGACTGACCAGGAGTACCCCTGTCTTGTCTGGATTCAATTTCAATTTGTTCGCCCTCATCCAGACCGTCACAGCGGCCAAGCACCGGTTCAGGACCTGAACAGCCTCCTTAGTAGCAGGTGGAAAGGAGTGACAGAGTTGGACATCATCCGCGTACAGATGACACCGTACCCCGAAACTCCGGATGATCTCCCCCAGCGGCTTCATGTAGATGTTAACAACATGGGAGACAATATTGATCCCTGAGGAACCCCACAAGACAATGGTTGTGGGGTCGAACAGGAGTCTCCCAATAACACCTTCTCAGAGCAACCCTCCAGGAAGGACCAGAGCCACTGTAAGACAATGCCTCCAAGGCCCATTCCTGCGAGGCGTCCCAGGATACTGCGGTCGACAGTATCGAAGGCCGCTGAGAGGTCCAGCAGAACCAACAGGGACACACTCCCCCTGTCAAGCTCCCGGCGCAGATCATCCACTAAGGCGACCAAGGCTGTCTCAGTACCATGTCCCAGCCTAAAGCCAGACTGCGCCGGATCCAGATAATCCGTGTCTACCAAGAAATCCTGGAGTTGCAAGGCCACCACACATTCCAGGACTTTGCCCAAATAGGGAAGATTGGAAACTGGCCGATAGTTGACGAATTGAGTGGGGTCCAGTGATTGTTTTTTCAACCAGTGATGGTTTTTCCAATCACCCTCCCTGCAGCTCCTCCCTAGTCTGCCATAAGTGGCAGGCTAAAACCTCAAGCAATGGCTGAGACTGGATGAGAGACTCCCTCTTGGGCATACAGAAGATTGGGCGACTTGGAAGGCTCTGAACAGACTGCGCTCTGGCACCACGAGATGCAGAGCCAAGCTTAAGAAATGGGCCACAAAGTGGAGTCCACAACATGAGAGTGTGGAGAAAAGCAAACCACAGACCACCGACTATAGGGCAGCCTGAGCCCTGCCACATGTACAATGGAGGACTTTTTCACAGCGACACCCGAGGCACTCCCAAGTGGCCAGCTACTGGTCAAAGCACATTTAGCATCATGTCAAGTTTTTTTAACTTTGTGTTTTTTAGATACATTACAACTGTACCCTCAGTTCGTTTCTGATGATAAATATTCCAGAAATTTCTTTTGTGGCTGAATTGGTTGAGACTCTCTTGAGATATTTATTGGAAAACTATTGCAAACTGTGCTGCAGCAGGATGTCCCTCTTGCAAATAATAATAACTAGCGGTCCCCTGCTACACATTGCTGTGGCCCAGTCTAGTGATATGGAAAATAAAGTAATTAGAAAGTGCAGGTTTCTAATATATGTAATGTCTTTCTGCTTGTGGGTAAACAGTATTTCTTGCTGTTTCTTTGTCAGTGTTGATGTGGAGAGTGTCTGGTTTGCCTACTCTGGAGCATGCAACATATCATTGACTTCTTTAGGGGTCCCTTTCAAATCCATGATATATCTGTGTGTGTGTGAATCATATATATATATATATCTATGGCTGGATGGCTCTTTGTCAGGAGGGCTTTGATTACGTTTTCTTGCCCTGGTGAAGGGAGTTGGACTGGATGGCCTTAAGTATTTTCTGTTGGTCATGGGGGTTCTGTGTGGGAAGTTTGCCCCAATTCTGTTGTTGGTGGGGTTCAGAAAGCTCTTTGATTGTAGGTGAACTATAAATCCCAGTAACTACAACTTCCAAATGTCAAGGTCTATTTCCCCCAAACTTCACCTGTGTTCGTTTTTGGGCTTATGGAATATTCGTGCCAAGTTTGGCCCAGACCCATCATTGAGTCCAAAGTGCTCTCTGGATGTGGGTGAACTACAACTCCCAAACTCAAGGTCAATGCCCACCAAACGCTGTGAGTATTTTCTGTTGGTCATGGGAGGCCTGTGTGCCAAGTTTGGTTCAATTCCATCATTCAGAATGCTCTTTGATTGTAGGTGAACTATAAATCCCAGCAACTACAACTCCCAAATGACAAAATCATAATTTTTTGAATGATGGCCACTCCTTGTGTAGTGAGACGTTTTGTTGCCAAATTTGGTGTGATTTCGTTCATTGGTTCTTTTGTTTTTAAGGTACTCATTATGCACAGAGCATTTTTATATATATAGATAATAATAATAATAATAATAATAATAATAATAATTATTATTATTATTATTATTTTGTAGAGGGGACATTTTGCAGTTTCATAAACTTTTCCCATGTTTTAATGATAGAACCAATTAGGACACCTGGAGTCTAAATACCTGATATTGGATGCTAAGCAGGGTCAGCCCTGGATAGCACTTGGATAGGAGACCGACCAAGAATACCAGGTGATGTTGCTTATATTTAGATATGAAGGTATGCACATATACATTCAAGCCATGGGTCTAAATACCCTAAAGCAGGCACGGGGAAACTTTGGCCTGGCAGGTGTTTTAGACTACCACTCCTACAATTCGTAACAGCCGGTACACCTGGAGGGCTGAAGTTTGCCCATGGCTGCAGTAAAGCCTCCAGATCCCCTTTGAGCTTGGATGCTAAGCAGGGCCAGTCCTGGTCAGTAATTGGATGGGAGACAAGCAGGCACTATTTCAGAAGAAGGAACCATCTGTGCCGAAGAAAACCCTATAAAACTTATGGGGTCACCTTCAGGGGACCTGAAGGCCCATAGAACCTGGGATAAAGGTACTGTTCCTAACCCAGGAGACCCAACATTTCCTAGGGTTGCCTTCCTTCTTGCCCTATCCTTGCACTTCGGGGAGGACGGTCTTAGTCATGTCTTACTCATGGCTCCACTTTACCTTTTGCTAATTCATCCTGCAAAGCTGTGTGTAGGTTGTGAGAGGGATTAAGGGGAAAGGCTGTTGGCAGAAGAAAAGGGGAGGAAAGGTGATGTGGTTTGGCTTCGAGGCTGCTTCTTTAGGCTCTGACAAGGCTGTCGGCTCTGCTTCAGAGAGAGGAAGGAACCGGCCAAACCACCTTTGCCAAAGAAAGCCCTACTCAAGGCATGGGGTCGCCATAAGATCTGGCCTCGGTCCCTGTTTGAAATGAGCTTTCACAGATCCAGTCCAACCTGTTTATTGCACAAAGATCCCACTACGATTGCCCTTCCCAAAAAAAACAAACAAACAGCAGGAGGGCAGGACCGTTTCCCTGAGTCTTGGAGGCCTTGGGGAGGCCAAGCGGAAGGAGAGGAAGAGGAGGCAGCCGCAGGAGGGCAGGCATCACTTTGTGCCCCCATTGAGGGGATCCTGCCCCCCCCCTCCAAAGGGCCACAGAGCCAGGGAGGTCAAAGAGGGGGGGGGGTTGCGGTCAGAGCAAGAGTTTGTTCCTCCGCGGAATGAGGATCTTGCGGACGGTGCGGCGCTCGGAGATGTTGCGCTTGACCTTCACGCCGGTCCCTGTGCGGCCGCTTATTGTTGCGGGTTGGCCCTCCACGTTGAGGGAGGGGCTGGAGTGGGACTTCTGCAAGCGCGGGGTGCCCCCCTCTTCCTCCTCCCCCTCCTCTTCGGGCCCCCCTTCCAAGCCGGCCTCCAGGTCGTGGGGGTCTTGGGAGGACATGGGGCGGCTGAGCCGGGCCCCCAGGAGCCGCACGTAGGTCTCGTAGCGCCGCTTCTGCGCAAGAGAAGAAGGGAGGGAGATGTGAATAATATGGTTACATTTATTTGTTTGTTTGTTTGTTTGTTTGTTTAAAAAATGCAGTACAACTGTTTGGTCTGCTCCTGACACGATAAATAAATACTAGTTAAAGGGTTAAGGTACATTTCCGGTTAGAAGTTTGATGTAACTTTTTTGTGGGTTGTCTTAACTCAGCATTTCTCAGTGGGGGGGGGGGGGGTCAGGGGGGGGGGGGGGGGGAGGGCCCGTGGGGGGGGTGGTCACAAGGGTGTTTCAGAGGGGTCACCAAAGACCATCAGGAAGACTTTGAAAACTTGGCTATTCCAGTGTTCCTTCGATGAATGAACAATAATCCCTGACCTTGACCAAACCCTGCATAAAACGCCCTTGGAAGCACTTTATCCCATCTTCTAGTGGAATTAAACCTCATATTTGTCCCTCTGATCCTCTGTCTAGATACATTACACAGCCTGTTCATCCAATGTTTTTAAACTTTTAATCTTTGCAACTTGCCCAGCCCACTGCCCACTGCCCACTGTGATGTATTATATTTTATTTTATTTTGTGATTCAATTACTGTGATCTTATATTGCTTATGGATGTTCTGTTTTAATTTGATTTATGTCTAATTGTAGTGTATAATTTTAATTGTTTGTACTGGCATTGAATTTTGCCATTACTTATGTGTAAACCGCTTTGAGTCCCCCTCAGGGTGACTCAAAGCAGTCTGTTGCATCTCCATCTCCTTGCCTCTCAGTGTCTCATTGGGAAACGGGGCCTTGGAGGTTTCAGGGTTTGCCTTTTAAAGGGGGAACACAACTAGGTTCCAAAACTATTATTAATTATTTTGTGGCCCAGACCAGAGATGCACCCTTGGCTCTGGATGGAACAATTATCTGCCTCGAGCCTTGCCCCAAAGAGTGTTTTGGGTGGCTGAGGGACTCCCTTTGTCTTACCTCATACAGCAGGTACTCCTTCCTGAGCAGGTACTCCTCCAGGTGCCGCCCGCGGCTGCGCTTCTCCCCCGGGAGGCTTCGCTGCAGCTCCTGCAGGAGGAGAGAGGCCCTCTCTGCACAACCCCCATGCGCCTGGTACTGCTCCTCCTGACAGAAGAAACAAGGGGCAAAGGCGTCAGGACCCCCGCGATGCCAAGGATGACTCCTCCCACCTTGCAAGGTCTTACCAGGGGACTCTTGCAGGGTGCGGTGGGCAGGACGGGCCGGACAAACCTCCGCTGGGAGCCCACGGCCTCCGGGAAGGGCGGTGAGGAGAAGGCAGCCGCCACCAGGTTGATCCGGGAGACCCACGATCCCATCTCCTCCGCGCTTCTGCAGAGAGGCAAAAGGGACCGTCAGCTTGCTCATCAAGCTGGCTGATTGCAATGTTCACACGTTACACAGACTAACAACAACAAACATCATTGACAAAATCACAAAAGGCCACCTAACTTGGATCTGTGCGCACAATTCGAAAATACATTACACAGTCCTAAACGCTTGGGAAGTGTTCGACTTGTGATTTTGTGATACAAAAGGTACTTGATCTTTACTGTTCACCTGCGTGGAATAGTTTATCTCTCTGGCAAGGCAGTGTGTGGGCTGATCAAACGTGAACCACACGTGGTTTAGTTTTACATAACACCACAAAGTAGAGGGAGAGCACTGGGACCCCCTTTCCCCCTCCCTAACAGGACTCACTGGGCCTGGAAGAGGAAGATGCGCCAGTCGGCCGTCTGCAGGCGGAAGACGTGTGGCCGCTTGGTGTACCTGCTGGCCCGCTCCGCCAGTGCATGGTGCACCCCAATGGGCTCCTCTGAGGCCTCCGTGCAGCTCTCATCCTGGAGGAAAGAGGTGCACTGAATGGGTGCAAATAGAAAGGGGCCAAACTCTCTTCCAAGCAGACTATATGCGAGAGTGGCCAATGAGCACCCCACCAGGACCCTCTCACTGAACACAGAAAGAAGTAGGTAAAGCCTCTATAGATTCTGATCCCCATTCTCAAGGCTTTTGAGACACCTCCCTTTTGTTACCTTGAAGAAGTAGAGCACGGTCCCTTTCAGGACAGTATGGAAGCTCTTCCAGCCCCTCTTGCCCCACGGCGCTGCAGAGGAATAGAATAGAATGACTTTGTTGTCATTGTAAACAGCACAATGAAATTACCCATATTTACTCGAGTCTCATGCGCCATCGAATCAAATGCGCAACTCAATTTTCAAAATCCTGAAACCAAAAAAGGTTATTTGCTTCAAGAAGTGTCCTCTTTGTCTTTTGGCCCCAAAAGGTGCGCATTACTTTAAAGCAGTGGTTCTCAACCTGGGGTCCCCAGATGTTTTTGGCCTACAACTCCCAGAAATCCCAGCCAGTTTACCAGCTGTTAGGATTTCTGGGAGTTGAAGGCCAAAAACATCTGGGGACCCCAGGTTGAGAACCACTGCTTTAAAGTGTCAGAGCAACTGAAAAGAAAACCCAAGGGTGCATCAATGCTGCAGAATGAAATTACCTCACAGACAGACTGGAAGGGCTTTATTTCTCAAAGCATACAGTATGGTTACAAGCAAAGTTCCATCTGACAGTTGGTTTCCATCTCACCTCACATCCCTCACTTTGGCCCTCCCCTTCACAGCACCATTTCCATGGAAACCTTCTCCCTTGCTTCAAGTGAGCTATAGGCCAAGGCATGGCCTACTTTCATGGTTCCCCACAACACCAGGAAAGGAGGTCATGACATAGGGTGACAAAGGCAAGGACAAAAAGATTGAAGGATAGCTTTTATCCTAGAGCTGTGTCATGAATACTTTTCAGACCTGATCTGCAGTTTTCTAGAGAAGAAATTACCTCACAGACAAACTGGAAGGGCTTTATTTCTCAAAGCATACAGTACAGTTACAAACAAAGTTCCATCTGACAGTTGCTTTCCATCTCACTTGACATCTCCCATTTTGGTACTCCCCTTCACAGCACCAATTCCATGGAAACCCTCTCCCTTACTTCAAGTGAGCTACAAGCCAAGGCATGGCCTACTTTCATGGTTCCCCACAACACCAGGAAGGAGGTCATGACATTCTAATTGCTATTGCACAACCCCTAAGGAAGGGAGCGGAGGGTCGGTCAAGTGGGTGCCCTCAATCTGCCCCCCAAAACACTCACCCAGAGGTTCTTGGGAGGGGAGCCCTGAATGGGGCACCCCACACAAAGCCCAGGAGTCCCTTGTTGCCCACAGCTGAGAACCAGAGGAAAAGAGGAGGAGGATCCAGTGCCCCTTCCTTCCAGCAGTAGCTCTCCAATTGAACGTTTCCCAACCCCCTCCCTGCAGCTGTACTCACTCTTCTTCCCATCGGCCTCGGCGTGCATCTTACGGAAGAGGGGGCCCTGGCGGTAGGTCCGGGCCCCAGGGTCATGCAGCAGGGTCAGGAAGGGGTTGCTCTTCTTCTGGCTGGAGAGCAAGGGGGGTGGGGGCCCATTGGGGGGTCCCTCCTTCTCCTCCTCCTCATCCCTGCGAAGAGAAGCAGAGGAGTCAGGAAGCAAGGTCTCCCCGTCACTTTTAACAACAACAAGAACACTATGGAACAACATTTGAAAAATGTTCTGTTCCTGGTTTGCAAGGGCCATTTCCTGTTTTATTGTGCACTCCTTACTTTGAAAGTTGTTGTTATACGCCAGTAACTTTGTTTTTGTGGCTGCCACAAAGTAGATTGAATTGGTTAAGACTCTAGGACAGGCATGGGCAAACTTGGGCCCTCCAAGTGTTTTGGACTTCAACTCCCACCATTCCTAACAGCCTTAAGCAGGGAAATGCTGGAGAAAAGGGGGGCGTCGGATAAGAGCGTCGGATAAGATGGAATGTCGGATAAGTGAAGGTCGGATAAGTGGGACCCTACCGTATTATATATTTGTTTCTTGTATTGTGTTATTTCACTAGTCAAAAGTGGTCCCATAACCATGTCTTTGTTCTCTTTCTAAAGGTGAGGAGGGAGGGTGAGGATCTAATCTCACTGGGGAGAGAGTTCCAGAGCCGAGGAGCCACCACTGAGAAGGCCTTGTTTCTCATCCCCACCAACCGTGGTTGCAAAGGGTGGGACCGAGAGTAGGGCCTCCCCAGAAGATCTTAATCTCCATGATGGCAGAGTTTAATGGAGGCCAATGGAGAAATCATGCAAGTCTATATGGGGGTGCCCTGGCAGGGTCATTTAGTTTGCCCTCCCAAAGGAAGCACTAAGGACCAACCAGAAGTATCTCCCACATCCACAAAGGGGAAGGAAGCCCCTCCTGCAATAGCAGTGACTTACGCAGCCCACTCCAGCTTCTCCTGGCGGATGGAGTGATACAGGCCCTAGGGAGAGAGTGAAAGAGATAGATAGATAAATAGACAGATAGAGGGTGAGAGGGCAGGGGGCCTATGCAGCAGCACCCCCTATCATGCCCCCCAAAAGATTCCAGAAGGATGCTCAGCCTGCTTTAGAAGTCATCAGAACTCAGATGATGACACCCCTGGGCCACAAAAAAGGCCCAGGGGTATCATCATCATCATCATCATCATCATCATCATCATATTTCTTACCCGCCTCTCCCCACAGTTCGAGGCAGATCACAGTACAGTGCAAAACATACAAATCTATATAAATAAAAATGTAATGTTTGTTTGTGGGATTAACATAACTCAAAAACCACTGGATGAATTGACACCAAATTTGGACACTATACCCCTAACAGACCAATGAGTGACCATCACTCATAACCCCCCCCCCCCAAAAAAAAAACCAGCCACAAAGGACTTAAAAATCCAAAAAAGCCAAATGACGAAAAGCTACATGACGATACAGACGGGACAGAAGAAAAAGGAGAAGGAAAGAAAGAAAGAAAGAAAGAAAGAAAGAAAGAAAGAAAGAAAAAGGGAGGGAGAAAGGGAGGGAGAGAGAAGGGAGGAGGAGGAGGAAAGAAAGAGAAAGAAAGAAAGAAAGAAAGAAAAGAAAAAAGAGAAAGAAAGAAGAAAGGGGAAAGAAAGAAAGAAGCATGGAAACAAAGAGCAGGAAAGGAAGGAAGGAAAGGCAGGTAGGAAAGAGTAATGGAAGAGAATAAAGGGAGAAAGAAAGGAGAGAGGAAAGAGGAATGGAAAAGATGAAAGGGAGAAAGAAGGGCAGGTAGGAAAGAAAGGAAAGGGAGAGAGGAAAGGCAAGTAGGAGAGAGGAAAGGGAGAGAAGAAAGAAAGGAAGGTAGGAAAGAGAGGAATGAAAGAGACGGGAGAAAGAAAGGAGGAAGGAAAGGAAGAGGAGAAATAAAGTCAAGTTGGAAAGGGAAGAAAGGAAGAGAAGAAAGGGAGAAAGAAAAGCAGGTAGGGAAGAAAGGAAGAGAAGAGAGGCAGGTAGAAAAAAGAGGAAAGGGAGAGAAGGAAAAAGAAAAGCAGGTACGAAAGAGAGGAAAGGAAGAGAAAAAAGGCAGGTAGGAAAGAGGAAAGGGGAGAAGAGAAAGAAAAAGGAGGGAAAGAAGAAATAGAAAAGGGAAGGGAAGGGATGGAAGGAAAGAGAGAAGAAAGAAGAAGGAAGAAAGAGAAGAAAGGAAGGAGGAGAAAGGAAAGAAGGAAAGGGAAGAAAGGAAGGAAAAAGGAAAGAAGAAAAGGGAAGGAAGGAAGGAAGGAAGGAGCAAAGGAAGGAGGGAAAAAAAGAGAGAAAGAAGGAGGGAAGGTTGGCCACAGCAATGTGTGGTGAGTACAGCTAGTACAATATAAAATATTATATAAAAATTCAACAAACACACATTAAAATTCAATTCCATAAAAGATACAGATCAAAGAATTTCTGCAAAATAAACATTTGGAATCACTGGTGGTGCAGTGGGTTAAACCGCTGAGCCCTGAACTTGCTAACCAAAAGGCTGGCGGCTCAAATTTGAGGATTGGGGGGAGCTCCCGCTGTTAGCTCCAGCTTCTGCCAACTTAGCAGTTTGCAAACATGCAAATGTGAGTAATAGGTACAGCGCTCCATACAGTCATGTCAGCCACATGACCTTGGAGGCGTCTATGGACAACGCCGACTCTTTGGCTTAGAAATTGAGAATAGTACCACCCATCAGAGTTGGACACAACTAGACTTAATGTCCAGGGGAAAGCTTTGCCTTTACACATTAATCACACAGGACAGAGACCAAAACACAGGACATATGTTTAAAATTCATGATTTCAACTGGCTAGGTAGGCTTGCTGGAATGTGGAATCTTTGAATCATAGAGTTGGAAGAGACCTCCACGGGCGATGTAATCCAACCCCCTGCCGTGCAGGAAAAGCACAAAGTACCCCAATCAAATGTCGTACTTTAGATCATAGGAAACCGTGACAACATGCCTCCCTTAAAAGTCACTGAGTGCAACTTCAAAAGTACAGGTCCACAGGGCAGCCAGGTCCTGAAGAATGACCCAATGCCTCCCACTTCTCCACGAGAGCCTTGTTACCTTCAGCAGCTCCTTGGGGAAGTTCTGCCCATCGTTCAGGCCGTCTAGGTTGGCCACGAAGGCCTGGCAGGACATGCTCTTGCCCACCTTCTGCTCCCTCGCAGGCCAGGAAGAGAAGCAGGAGGGAGTGGGGAGATGTTGGGGAGGGGGAGGGGAGAGAAAGAAGGGGACACTTGGTCAGGCTCAGTGTTATGTGCCCCCCAAGACACAAAAAGGTGCCTCACATTCCTACTCCGGGGCCTTACCTGCCCATGGAGGTCAGTGTTGAGGAGCATGATGGCACAGGTGAGGGTATGCACAGCATCTGTGGAAAACAAAGTGAAGAGAACTAAAACTAGATCCCAGCAAAAGGTTTCTTTGTCTAGTACAGTGTTTCTCAACCTGGGGGTCGGGACCCCTGGGGGGGGTCACAATGGGGTGTTAGAGGGGTCGCCAAAGACCATCAGGATATACAGTATTTTCTGCTGGTCATGGGAGTTCTGTGTGGGAAGTCTGGTGGTGGATGCTGCTGGTTTTTCCCTCAGGTCTTGTATTTTCGGTATCCTGACCTGTCTCCTGTAATCTTGGAACCCTGGAACCTTGAACCTTTGGATTGGCTAATTCTATTGTTGGTGGGGTTCAGAATGCTCTCTGATTGTAGGTGAACTATAAATCCCAGCAATTACAACTCCCAAATGTCAAGGTCTATTTTCCCCAAACTCCCAACAGCGTTCCCATTTGGGCATATTGAGTATTCGTGCCAAGTTTAGTCCAGATCTCTCATTGTTTGAGTCCACAGTGCTTTCTGGAGATAGGTGAACTACAACTCCCAAACTCAAGGCCAATGCTCACCTAACCCTTTCATTATTTTTTGCTGGTCATGGGTGTTCTGTGTGCCAAGTTTGGGTCAATTCCATCTCTGGTGGAGTTCAGAATGTTCTTTGATTGTAGGTGAACTATAAATCCCAGCAACTACAACTCCCAAGGTCCAGAGAATGAAAATACATCATGCCTATCAGATATTTATATGACGATTCATAACAGTAGCAAAATTCCAGTTATGAAGTAGTAACGAAAATAATTTTAGGGTTGGGGGTCATCACAACTATATAAAGGGGTTGCGGTGTTAGGAAGGTTGAGAACCACTGGTCTAGCAACAAACAGGAAGGGGGAGCGGGATACAAGCTGCTAGGAAAGCAGGCACAAAGATACTGATATAAGAGAGCAAAGGAAAAGAAAAGATGAGGCTCAGTTCACTGAACTTTGCACATGCTCAAAAGTGTTGGCAACAAAAACTGAACTGCACCTCAATTTTGTGTGGCACTCTCCACCCAGCAGGGTGACTTGTTCAATTACACTTGCTGCAACCACCTTTTGCCTTCAGTGTTTGACTGAATAAAAAACTCTGACTGTTTTGGGGCTAACTGACACTCAGGCACTTTAGTTGAATCGATGGCAGCTAGTTTTAATTACTGATGGTTTTGAGATTAAAATTGTATTTTTTTATGTGTTGACTAGCAGTCCCCTGCCGGGTGTTGCTGTGACCTGGTCTGGTGATCTGGAAAATAAAGTAATGAGAAAGTATTGGTTTCTAATATATATAATCTCTTTCTGCTTGTGGATAAACAGTATTTCTTGCTGTTTCTTTGTCAGTGTTGATGTGGAGATTGTCTGGTTTGCCCACTCTGGAACACGCAACATATACTGTATATACTCGAGTATAAGCCTAGTTTTTCAGACCTTTTTTTGGGCTGAAAAAGTCTCTCTTAGCTTATACTCGAGTCAAGGTTATTTATTGTTTTACTCTGTTATAAATACGTAAACATTTTTTTGTCGTGTCAGGAGCAACCGCTCCTGTTGTGAGAGAATTGGCCGTCTGCAAGGATGTTGCCCAGGGAACGCCTGGATGATTTTTGATGTTTTATCATCCTTGTGGGAGGCTTCTCTCATGTCCCCGTATGAGGAGCTGGAGCTAATAGAGGGAGCTCATCCGCCTCTCCCCGGATTCAAACCTGCGACCTGTCGGTCTTCAAGTCCTGCCAGCACAGTGCTTTAACCCACTGTGCCACCGGGGGCTCCATAAATACGTATTATGTATTATTATTATTATTATTATTATTATTATTATTATTACAATTTATTATTTTACTTTATTGTTGTTGATATTATTACATTTATTATTTTACTCTATTTATTATTATTGTTATTATTATTACATTTATTATTTTACTCTATTTTTATTGGAAGGGTATGCAAATTCTATGTAAAAATTACAGTTTTATGCAAATATTCAAAAACATTTAACCTCCTGATGCCTCAATTAATATAATTTTATTAGTATCAATTTTTATTTTGAAATTTACCAGTATCTGTTGCATTTCCCATCCTCGGCTTATACTTGAGTTAATCTGTTTTCCCAGTTTTTTGTGGTAAAATTAAGTGCCTCGACTTATATTCGGGCCAGCTTATACTCGAGTATATACAGTAATTGTCTTTCTTTAGGGGTCCTTTTCAAATCTATGATACTATATCTCTCTCTGTGTGTGAATCATATCTATCTATCTATATCTATGGCTGGATGGCTCTTTGTCAGGAGCACTTTGATTACGTTTTCTTGCCCTGATGAAGGGAGTTGGACTGGATGGCCTTAAGTATTTTCTGTTGGTCATGGGGGTTCTGTGTGGGAAGTTTGCCCCAATTCTGTTGTTGGTGGGATTCAGAATACTCTTTGATTGTAGGTGAACTGTAAATCCCAGTAACTACAACTGCCAAATGTCAAGGTCTATTTCCCCCCCAAACTCCATCTGTGTTCATATTTGGGCATATGGAATATTTGTGCCAAGCTTGGTCCAGATCTATCATTGTTTGAGCCCATAGTGCTCTCTGGATGTAGGTGAACTACAACTCCCAAACTCAAGGTCAATGCCCACCAAATTCTTCCACTATTTTCTTTTCGTCATTAGAGTTTTGTGTGACAAGTTTTGGTTCAATTCCATCGTTTATGGGGTTCCGAATGCTCTTTGATTTTTAGGTGAACTATAAATCCCAGCAACTACAACTCCCAAATGTGGAGGTCTATTTTCCCCAAACAAAACCAGTGTTTACATTGGGACATATTGAGTACTTGTGACAAGTTTGGTCATGGAAGTTCTGTGTGCCAAGTTTGGTTCAATTCCATCGTTGGTGGAGTTCAGAATGCTGTTTGATTGTAGATGAACTATCAATCCCAGGAACTACAACTCCCAGATGACACAATCAATCCCTCCCCAACCCCACCAGTATTCAAGTTTGGTCGTATTGGGGATCTGTGCCAAATTTGGTCCAGTGAATGAAAATACATCCTGCATATCAGATATTTACATGACAATTCACAACAGGAGCAAAATTACAGTTATGAAGTAGCAACAAAAACATTGTTATGGTTGGTCCACACAACATGAAGAACTGTATTAAGGGGTCGCGGCATTAGGAAGGTTGAGAGTCCTGTGTGCCATGTTTGGTTCAATTCCATCATTGGTGGAGTTCATGCTCTTTGATTGTAGGTGAACTATCAATCCCAGGAACTACAACTCCCAAATGGCACAATCATTTTTTTGGAGTGATGGTCACTCCTTGGGCTAGTGGGTGTCTTGTGTCGAAATGTGGTGCCAATTCATTCAGTGGTTTTTGAGTTATGTTAATCTCACAAATGAACATTACATTTTTATTTATATAGATAGTGGTTTTTTAAATAATTTTTATGTGATGCTGTTTTGTAGTCATGTACCGTTTATGTTATATACTGGACTGCAGTGTCTCGTAAGCTGCCCTGAGTCCCTTTTGGGAACTGGTGGTGGGATATAAACAAAGTTCACTATTTCTATTATTATTATTATTATTATTATTATTATTATTATTATTATTATTATTGTAGTTAATTAAGAAGGAAGAACGAAATGCAAAGATACAGAATGGGGGATGCCTGGATTGAGAGCAGTACGTGTGAAAAAGATCTTGGAGTCCTCGTGGACAACAAGTTAAACATGAGCCAACAATGTGATGTGGCGGCAAAAAAAGCCAATGGGATTTTGGCCTGCATCAATAAGGGCATAGTGTCTAGATCTAAGGAAGTAATGCTACCCCTCTCTATTCTGCTTTGGTTAGACCACACCTGGAATATTGTGTTCAATTCTGGGCACCACAATTCAAGAGAGATATTGACAAGCTGGAATGTGTCCAGAGGAGGGCAACTAAAATAATCAAGGGTCTGCAGAACAAGCCCTATGAGGAGCGGCTTAAAGAGCTGGGCATGTTTGGCCTGAAGAAGAGAAGGCTGAGAGGAGACATGATAGCCATGTAAAAATATGTGAGAGGAAGTCACAGGGAGGAGGGAGCAAGCTTGTTTTCTGCTTCCCTGGAGACTAGGACGGAACAATGGCTTCAAACTACAAGAAAGGAGATTCCATCTGAACATTAGGAAGAACTTCCTGACTGTGAGAGCTGTTCAGCAGTGGAACTCTCTGCCCTGGAGTGTGGTGGAGGCTCCTTCTTTGGAAGCTTTTAAACAGAGGCTGGATGGCCATCTGTCAGGGGTGATTTGAATGCAATATTCCTGCTTCTTGGCAGGGAGTTGAACTGGATGGCCCATGAGGTCTCTTCCAAGTCTTTGATTCTATGATTCTATAAGAGGGAATGGCAGTGAGTCTCAACAAAAGGAAGAGGGCCAGGTTCTTAGACGGACGCCCCCTGCCCAGAGGCGGCCCTAGGTAATTTTCAACAGTAAGCAAACAGTATTTTAGTGCACCCCCCCCCCCCAAAACCAATCACTGATATATATTTTCTGTTCGTCCTGGGAGTTCTGTGTGCCATATTTGGTTCAATTCCATCATTGGTGTTCAGAATACCCTTTGATTGTAAGTGAACTATACATCCCAGTAACTACAACTGACATATGTCAAGGTCTATTTTCCCCCAAGAACGCCTCAAGAGTGCCCATGAGCAAAATCAACTATACTGCAAATGCTTACTTTGCGTAATGGGTTGAGCCGCCCCTGCCCCTGCCCTTCCTCACTCACATGGACCACAATAACAGCATCATTGCCCTCGCCTCTTCCCGAAGGGGGCTTCTGCGTGAAAGGGAGGCATCCCTTACCTGGGCTGTGGAAGGCCTCCGGGTTGCAGCTGTGGAAGCGCTGGGAGAAATGGTTCAGGATCCGCTCGCGCTCCTGAGTCTCCCCAGTGAGCACAAAGGCTTTCAGGAAGGACCTGTTTGGGAATGGACCGACAGGGGAGTCCGTAATAGATTATATACACAGAGCATAACATTACATGTTGGTGGCACAGTGGGTTAAATCACTGAGCTGCTCAACTTGGTGATTCAAATCCGGGGAACGGGGTGAGCTCCCACCGTTAGCCCCAGCTTCTGCCAAACTAGCAGTTTGAAAACATGCAAATGAGAGTAGATCAAATGGTGCCACTCCAGGAGGAAGGTAACGGCATTCCATGCAATCATGCCCGCCACATGACCTTGGAAGTGTCTACGGACAATGCCGGCTCTTCGGCTTAGCAATGGAGATGATGCACCACAGTCCTAGAGACGGACACAACTAAACTTAATGTCAGGGGATAGCTTTACCTTTACTATAAGACAAAGTTGCGAGGGGGGTTTCAGAGGGGTCGCCAAAAACCATCAGAAAACACATGTTTCTGATGGTCTTAGGAACCCCTTTGGCATAGAAGGCTGAAGATCTCTCCGCCTGTCCTTCTCTTCCTTTTTAGTGTTGGTGAACTACAACTCCCAGAATTCAAACACGGCTCTCCAACCCCACCAGTATTCAATGTTGGCCATGTAGGTAGTGTGCCCAGTTTGGTGCTGATCCATTGTGGGCTGGGTTCAGAGTCTCTTTGATTGTAGGTGAACTATACATTCCAGCAACTACAACTCCCAAATGACAAAATCAACCCCCCCCATCCCAAAAATGTGGGCATATCAGGTGTTTGTGCCAAATTTGGTCCAGCAAATGAAAATAAATCCTGCATATCGGATATTTACATGACAATTCACCACAGCAGCAAAATTACAATTATGATGTAGCAACAAAAATAATGTTATGGTTGGGGGTCACCACAACATGAGGAACTGTGTTAAGGGGTCACGACATTAGGAAGGTTGAGAAATGCTGCCCTTAACCAAAGAAAGGACACCCCCCTCCAATTTCCTGTGATAGGGGTCCCTCCTTACCTGAGGGCCTGGTCCAGCGTCTTCCCTTGGAAGTCGAAGAAGGAGAGGTAGGCTTCGGCCACAGTCCGGCTGAACTCATTGCTGTAGGGAAGCACGGAAGGGGCACTCAGAGAGGATTCCTTGGAGAGGAACTTGGGGGCTGTAGGGAAGGGGTCCCCACCCGCCATCACCCTGTTCGTACTTCTTCCGGAGGAAGGAGGCCACCTGGGACTTCTTGATGCCGTCCAGGCGGTGGAGGCGAGTGGCCAAGCGCAGGGCTGCCGAGCGGTCTCCCGAAGAACCGTTGGCGATGAGTGGCCCCTCGTTGCGGGAGGGCTCCTTGGGGCCCGGGTCCATGTGGGTGGGGTCTGCGGGGGGGATCTGGGGGCAGCTGCGGGGGCAAAGAGAAGGGCTCAGGGAAGCCATTAGACACCTGGTCCTGAACAGAAGATGTGGGTCAGCTGGCACCTGGATGTAGACCCCTTCTCTCCCTTTGGCCCCACCGTTTGAACCCAGAACCATTTGCCAGGTACTGATTTCTCCCAGTGAGAGGAGGTAGGCTTAGTGGAAGATCTGAAGCTCTCCTCTGTAGTCCTCCTCTCTGCAGACATGCCATAGCATGCCTGCAGCGTTTGTGAAGAGCAGTTGTATGTCAGTCTGTGATTGTGTCTGATATTCATGCTGATGCTCATGATGGGATTTATGTTCATGTTGATATTCATGATGGGAATATTCCTGATGGGACTGGGGATGAGGGGTTTCTTGGGCCTGAGTTAAGATCAGGAGAAAGGGCTGGACTGTTTCAGGAAGATTCCCAAGGCCACATTCCTGAGAGAGGCCCATCACCATGGGCTGGCCCCGAACCCAGCCACTGCAAGGAGCCACCAAGGAGCCCAGCACATTTCCCCAACTGAAACTCCATGGTTCAAGTCCTACAACACACTGGAAGAAAACCCATACCTCCTTTACTCAGAGGTCCCATGATGCTGGAAGCCTCAAATCAAAGTGCAGGATCTCCAGCGAGAGCCTCTTTGTAGCCGCAGGGAGATGCCCAGCAGTCCCATTGCTTCCTTGGCCAAAGTGCACTCACCATCAAGGACTCAAACTGCAGTCCTTCAGCTGTTTGGGCCTCCAACTCCCCGAATCCCTAACCACTGAAAAAGCTGGCAATTAGGGCTTCTGGGAGTTGGAGGATCAAGAAGTTGCAAGGTCACAGGTTGAGGATGCCAGTCTTAGACCCTTGTAAGGCTCTGGGATGGGGCTCTCAACCTCATTTCTATTGAGAGCCACTTTGGCCCTCCCTCTGGGTGTTTTGGACTCCAACTCCCACAATGCCTAACAGCTAGTCATAGGAAAACTTCTGCCCTCCAGGTGTTTTGGACTCCAACTCCCACAATTCCTAACAGCCAGTGGGAGTTGGGAGTTAATAATAAAATAAATAATAAATAATAAACTTTATTTATACCCCGCTACCATCTCCCCAAGGGACTCGGTGCGGCTTACATGAGGCCGAGCCCATAATACAACAATACAAGCAATTAAAATCAAACAAAAACAATAAAACAATAACATAAGCATTAACAGTAGGACACCACACTTTAAAATCTATGGGTAGGCCAAGTGTAATTAAAATTTAAAAATAATGCTGGACATGGGCGAAAAAGTGATGGGGCGTTTGTGGAAACATACAAGCAGACCTAAACAATATAAAGTGCTTTGGAGGACAAAGTGCTATGGGATCATTATTATGGGAAGGCACACTGGAACAACCATGTCTTCAAGCTCCTCCTAAAGACTGCCAGAGTTGGGGCAAGCCTGATGTCCTTAGGAAGTGAGTTCCAGAGTTGAGGGGCCATCACCGAAAAGGCCCTCTCTCTTGTCCCCACCAATCGCGCTTGCGATACAGGTGGGAGCGCGAGCAGGGCCTCTCCAGATGATCGAAGAGATCATGTGGGTTCCTGCACAGAAATGCGGTCACGCAGGTAGGCAGGTACAAAACACCTGGTGGTGTGAGGGCCGAAGTTGGCCCATGTCTGCTGTATCCCAACTCATGAGCCCATGAGCACACAATGTGATGTGGCGGCAAAAAAAGCCAATGGGATTTTGGCATGCATCATAGTGTCTAGATCCAGGGAAGTCATGCTCCCCCTCTATTCCGCCTTGGTTAGACCACACCTGGAATATTGTGTCCAATTCTGGGCACCACAATTCAAGAGAGATATTGACAAGCTGGAATGTGTCCAGAGGAGGGCAACTAAAATGATCAAGGGTCTGGAGAACAAGCCCTATGAGGAGCGCTTAAGGAGCTGGGCATGTTTAGCCTGAAGAAGAGAAGGCTGAGAGTAGATATGATAGCCATGTATAAATATGTGAGAGGAAGCCACAGGGAGGAGGGAGCAAGCTTGTTTTCTGCTTCCTGGAGACTAGGACGTGGAACAATGGCTTCAAACTACAAGAAAGGAGATTCCATCTGAACATTAGGAAGAACTTCCTGACTGTGAGAGCCATTCAGCAGTGGAACTCTCTGCCCCAGAGTGTGGTGGAGGCTCCTTCTTTGGAAGCTTTTAAACAGAGGCTGGATGGCCATCTGTCAGGGGTGATTTGAATGCAATATTCATGCTTCTTGGCAGGGGGTTGGACTGGATGAGGCCTCTTCCAACTCTATGAGTCTATGATTCTGACTTAGCTGTAGCCCTGATGTCTTAATGATAAGGAATGCAGGAGTTGGGTCCCAGCATCTGAAGGGCCGCATCGAAAGGCACTGAGGGCCGGATTTGTCCCGTGGGCCAGTGTTTGATGCATGTGCTCTGTGCCAAACTTTCCACTAGCGTGAGACTCTCTCGAAGGGGCCTCAACTGCCTCCCTTCCACCCCAAACCAGGCCCTTCCTCCTGCTGCTGACTCTCGCTCAGCCTCTAACCACTGCCGGAGGATGTTGTGGGCAGCTGACAGACAGGCGGCTGAGAAGGAGGGAGGGCTACAGGGATCCTCCAAAAGGGAGACTTACTGCTGGGGGGCCGTTGTCTCTCCTTCCTCCTCCTCCTCCTCCTCCTCCTCTTTGTTTCCGGCACCTTTCTCTTCTGCTGGTACTTCGGTGGGCAACCTGTCCAAAGCACCTGGCAACTTCCTCAATGGGCTGCTGAGCGAAACCGGGTGCGGATCCTGCGCAGAACCTTCCTCCCGCAGACAGGAAGCTCCCCGGGGCCCCTCTGCCCATGCGCAGGAAGCGGGTGGGTGGCTCCGGAAGGAGGCCCGTTGCAGAGGCTCCTGCCGCCGGGGCCCCCATTCTGCATTAAGGGCCAAGGGCAGTGGCAAGGCGGATGCAGGAAGGGGTCTCTTTGGGCGGGCAGAGAGATGGGGAAGGGTCTCTCTTCCGGGGGACGGTACTCAGGGGTCTCTTGCAGCAGCGTGGAGACCAGGGAAGAGCTGCAGGCGGAGAAGAGGAGGCCTTGGCCAGCTGTGTGGGCACCTGGAGAAAGAGAGAGGAGGACAGGTGTGGGACCACCTCTTCTGGGGTTGGAAGGGCCCCTCGCATCTGCTTCATGAGTGGAAGATGTGTCTTGCTCCCCACAGTGGGTCCCAATGGTCAGGGGGCCATGCACATTCCTCGGAGGTGGAACTCACCTGCGGCTGGACCTTCGGAAACACCTCCGGAGAGACCACCATCCGGCTGTGGAGGGAAGCACCGTGGGGCTTGCATCTGGAGGCCTTGGCCAGTTGGGTGGGCACCTGGAGAAAGAGAGAGGGGGACAGGTGTGGGACCAACTCTTCTGGGGTTGGAAGGGCCCCTCGCATCTGCTTCATGTGTGGAAGATGTGCCCCACTCCCCACAGTGGGCCCCAATGGTCAGGGGGCCATGCAGATTCCTCAGAGGTGGAACTCACCTGCGGCTGGACCTTCGGAAACACCTCCGGAGAGACCACCATCCAGCTGGGGAGGGAAGCACCGTGGGGCTTGCATCTGGAGGCCTTGGCCAGTTGGGTGGGCACCTGGAGAAAGAGAGAGGAGGACAGGTGTGGAACCATGTCTTCTGGGGTTGGAAGGGCCCCTCGCATCTGCTTCATGTGTGAAAGATGTGTCCCGCTCCCCACAGTGGGTCCCAATGGTCAGGGGGCCATGCAGATTCCTCGGAGGTGGAACTCACCTGTGGCTGGAGCTTCGGAAACACCTCCGGAGAGACCACCATTCCGGCTGGGGAGTGAAGCACCGTGGGGCTTGCATCTGGAGGCCTTGGCCAGTTGGGTGGGCACCTGGAGAAAGAGAGAGGGGGACAGGTGTGGGACCAACTCTTCTGGGGTTGGAAGGGCCCCTCGCATCTGCTTCATGTGTGGAAGATGTGCCCCACTCCCCACAGTGGGCCCCAATGGTCAGGGGGCCATGCAGATTCCTCAGAGGTGGAACTCACCTGCGGCTGGACCTTCGGAAACACCTCCGGAGAGACCACCATCCGGCTGGGGAGGGAAGCACCGTGGGGCTTGCATCTGGAGGCCTTGGCCAGTTGGGTGGGCACCTGGAGAAAGAGAGAGGAGGACAGGTGTGGGACTACCTCTTCTGGGGTTGGAAGGGCCCCTCGCATCTGCTTCTTGTGTGGAAGATGTGCCCCGCTTGCCAGTTAGCCCCAATGGTCAGGGGGGCCATGCACATTCCTCAGACCTGGAACTCACCTGCGGCTGGACCTTCGGAAACACCTCTGGAGAGACCACAATCTGCCTGGGGAGGGAAGCACCATGGGGCTTGCATCTGCAGAGAGGCAAAGTCAGGTGTCAATGGAATCAATGGCTGCCCTGAAGCCCCCCATTACTCCAAAGGGGTAAATGCCCACCTGCAGCACGGAAAGAAGGAAGGGGCAGAGCCAGCCCCTCAATAAGACGCCGAAGGCCAAGCTCTCAGAGTAGAGTGGATGGTCAATTTCAAGTTCCTGGGTGCCACTGTGAAGGAGGATCTAACCTAGGGCAGCGTTCATACAGCAGCATTTGTGAAGAGCTGTTGTATGTCAGTCTGTTCAGCCTGTGATTGTGTCTGATGGGATTTATGGTCATGTTGATGTTCATGATGGGAATGTTCCTGATGGAATTGGGAATGAGGGGTCACTTGGGCCTGAGCTAAGATCAGAAGAAAGGGCTGGACTGTTTCAGGAAGATTCCCAAGGCTACATTCCTGAGAGAGGCCCATCACTGCTTTTCTCAGAGCAATGGTCTGAAAATGATGCTGAGTTTGATTTGCAAGGTACAGGAGTTTATGAGGGAGAGGACAGTGAAACACTGGACAGAAAGTGACGCTTTAGTAAACAAAGGCAGAGCTTTCAGAGACTGAGGCGTTCAGTCCGACTACAGCAAAAGACAGATAACAAATCGTTATCTGGTGGGAAGGTCAAAAAATATGCTTTCTTTTCAGTTTTGGAATCTGGAAAAGATTTATGGGAGACAGTTGCCTCAGTCGAGTCAATGTTGTTATTTTATCACGGTCTTGCTTTCAAGAGCTCTTGTGTTTCATGTACCAAGTTTTTGCCAAGCTTAAGTTTTGCCTATGGGATTTTCCTGCTGCATTGTTTCATGGTTTCAAGTGTCTTGTCTCATGGATTTCTATGTACTCATGGACTTGCTTTCCTTTGAAGCTTAAGACTATCTTGGATTTAGGGCTTTTACTGTTTTACTTTTTTTTTTACTGATTTGCCTACATATATTCTACAATAAACTGCTTGCTGATTTTACCCAGCTGGTGTGATGTTTGAGGTCAGAGGTGTACGACACCAGCAGGGATTGTATTCTTATCTGAGACTTCTAAGGAACAGACAAATGAATGGAAAACCGCTGGAGACTTTCTACCACTGTGCTCTAGAGTGTGTCCTAACTTACTGCATCTGCGCATGGTTTGGAAACTGCACAGAAGCATACAGGCAGCAAACTACTGGCATTCTATGTGACTCAAAAATGCCTGAACAACTCAAGGCTAAGATTGATACTAGTTGTTCACTCAGTGGCCAGCAACAAAGAAACATGAACAGGCCCTTAACACCATGGAAAATGCTGAGATGGGCACTTCTTGACCATGTGACAAATGATGACTTCTGCCAAGACTAAGAATAAAAGTGATCAGCAAGAGAATGCATGAAGCAAGACTATGGTGGTACAGCAATGTCACGAGAAGAGAAACAATATCAGGAGCACAAATAGCACAGCACTTGGAGATTGCAGGACGGCAACCACGTGGACGAACGCCAAAGGTAAGACGGATGAACACCATCAACAAAGACATACGTGCTGTCATCCTGAGACCTGAGGATGCCCAAAACAAAGCCCTGTGGAAACGACAGTTACTATACTTAACCCCTCCATTGGGAAAACAGTGTAGAAAGAAGAAGGTGGATGGATGGACGAATACATGAATGGAGAGAAAGATGGTTAGATAAATAGATAGATGGATAGATGTGTAGATAAATAAATGGATACATAGATAGATACTACAGAACTGCATTTGGAGGTTGCAGGATGGCGACTGTGACGGCGCGAGTGGCGCCACCTATGTATAGAACTGTTAGTTGTAAGATTTAAACTGTTGTATCATGCTTAATCCTGCCCCTTTTGCCATGTTTCTGTATATTTGTATGGATTGGTTACTTGTAGCTGTCAATCAGCACTGTTTGGCTCCACCTCTTCCTGCAAGAGGGGAGAACTTCCTTTTCTTTTCATTCTGCCATGAGAGTTCCTGCAACATGGACGTGAGTAAGAGACTTCATTCTTAAAGGACCCTGTTTTAAGTCACCTCTTAGCACCAATTCTGAGGTTTTTCCCCCTGGGACTCATGCTTTATGTCCAGATCATCCTGGATGATACAGAGGAGACCCAGGCGCCTTCAAGCAAGTTCTTTTGGCACCAGTGGAAGATCCTGAATCTTCAAAATAGGCCATTTGAATTGGGGTTGTGGTTTTGCTCCGGCACTCACAACCATTGAGGAAGAGGAAACCTGGTGAGGCTTCTCAGCTTCAAACCCCTTGGACCCAGGACTAATAGAGACTGTAAAGTGTGTTTTCCTTCACCCCTCTAGGGTTTTCCAGTTTATTGCATTGAAGAAATGACTTTGTGACAAATAAAACTTATTTTGAGTTATTTACATCGTTTTGGGTTCTTGGGAGTTCCAGTTTCCTAAAGGAGGGCAAGAAGCAATCCCTTGGGGGAAAGATGCCACGTCCATCCTCCTTTTAAGACTAATAGCCCCCAAGCGCGACGGCACAGTGCTAAGAGAGTAAACACTCTTATTTATAAGAGTGCTAAGAGAAGCCTTCTTTTCCAGAAGTGCTAAGAAGGGAAAAGAAGGAGCCAAAGGGTCTTATTTTTGCCAAGCTTATAGTTTTCTAAAGAAAAAATAGAATCAAAAGGAAGCCTGCCTTTGCCTTCAGAGGGGAAGCCCAGGTTTGCAAAGTGGATACATTTCCCTGGGGTTCCCGCCTTTTTTGCTTCTCAAGCTAGCCACAGCAATTTGCTACAACCAACTTTTGCACCTCAGCCAGCTCCTTGCAAGCTTTTGCAGAAGTGGATAAATTGTAACAACCTGCCTTTGCAGCTGCTGCAAACAAACCTGCAAAGCTACTGTTATTTCTGCAAAGTTTCCAGCTCTCTGCAAGATTGATACTTTTGCAGGGTTTCCAGCCATCTTCTGCAAGCTTCTGTTTCTTCTACAGTTTCCCGCCCTTTCCAGAAGCAAGGCTTCTACAGTAATTGCAACATCCAGCCAGAAGCAAGCAAGCTTTTGCAAAGTTTCCAGCCTTCTGCACTTCCCGCCTTTTTTGCAGAGCCAGCCTTCAGCCCTCCAGGGTTGAGGGGTGGGAGGAGCCAGCCTTCTCTTGAAGTCTGCCCAGCAACAGTTCCTGAGAGCCTTCAATAGGCTAAACAAAGCAAGGTTTACCTTCTAAAGAAAGCAACTATTGTAATTGTCTTTTTTCAAGAATTGCATTGCCTTTTTGTGTGCCTTTTCCATTGTATGCTTAAATTCTATTGCATTTGTACTGTTTAAAGTGTGGGTTAAGTTTCCTTTGAATTTTGCATTATGGCAAGTCAAAACTTTGAGGTCCCACAAATTAGAGTCAAATCCTCCCACCCAGCGTCTTTAGATAGGGCTAAAGAAATTTCTTTTAGCCTACAAAAGAGAGGAGGTGTTACAGCGCGGTTCTATTTGAATCACAGCCTAGTTCCTTATCTAAAGGTCCAGAGCAAAGGGATCAAGGCTTCCCATGTGTAAGCCTTAGATCCAGTCTGCTTAAGCGTTCCTCTAAGGCTGCCAGCATTAGATCCAAACATTCGTCTAGGCATAGCATTTCCTCCCATTCCACACATTCATTTCTTAGTACATCTTCCAAAGCAGCCTATTACAACAGAGAGGCTGTCCGTTTGGAAATAAGGAAAGAGGTTTTGGAAGCAGAGGCGTCTGCGGAGATGGCTAAGCAAGGCCTGGCCTTTGACGAGGAGGAGCTCCTCCTTCAACAGGTCAAAGCCCAGCAGGAACTGCTTCTAGCACAGGCTAGGGCCCAACAGGAAGCTGACCTAGCACAACAGGAAGCTGACCTAGCACAACAGGAACTGCTTCTAGCTCAGGCTAAGGCCCAGAGAGAAATAGAGTTTGCAGTGGCAAAGGCCAAGCAAGAT